GACGGATGACGGGTGAACGGATGACAGGTGGACGGATGACGGGTGGATGACGGGTGGACGGATGACGGGTGGACGGATGACGGGTGGACGGATGATGGGTGGACGGATGACGGGTGGATGGATGACGGGTGGATGATGGGTGGATGGATGATGGGTGGATGGATCCATGAGTGGGAGTCTGATGTGGAGTGACAGGCTTTCCAGATCCCATGTGAGAAGGATGAGGTTCTCTGTGTGGAAACCATTCTCATTTTGCAAGGGGGACCGCGCAGGGAAGTCAGTGCATCGTGTGAGGTTCCCATTCATTCTGAATCAAATTACCCACTCACTGGGTCCTGCCCTGTCTCCTCCTTGGAGGTTTGGAGGCCCGGTAAGGAGAGGGGAGGGACTCACGGGGTTCAGATAGGGGTCTGCGAGAAGGACTGGGCTCAGAGAGAAGAGGGCTGGGGTGGGTCTGGGAGCGGCTCTACTGACTGGAAGGGCGTGTGATGCGGGCTTTGCTGCACCAGGCACAGTGAAGACACCGGTGAGGATGGTGGTGAGGAAGAGGAGGGCCAGTGCCTCCAGCTGGACATCAACACTGTTTCCTGTGGGACACAGTGGACGGTGGCGGTGGGGAAGTGGGGAGAGCGAGCATTGTGGTCACAGTGGTTGGGGTTCTCTTCGAACCTCTGGCCACTCCCCCACCCAGCACCTGTGCTCCCTCCCCCAGAGCAGGGAGTGGCCCTTGCACTGAGGAATGGGGCTCCCTTCCCCCCATCCCTGGGCATCTGGTACCCTGGAAGGAGTACAAGGCCCCAAGCACCCCAGTGCCATCTCCCTGAGACCCATCTTGACCCCCTCATTTCCCACAGCCAGGGCCATCGCAGGGAAGCCCCAAATCTTGAAGAAAAATTGGCCCAGGAGAAGCAAGGAATTCATTCCCTGAGTACCTACTGCGTGCATACTGTGCACAGCCATAAGCCTCATGCCACCTCCAAGCCTCAGCCTCTGCAGAAGTCAACGCAAGGCACAGAGATTCCAGGTCACCTCCTCTGGGCCACACAGCATCACAGAGCAGTTCTCCCAGCTGAGCGCAACCCACAGGAAAGAACACCCAGCCCCGAAGGCATGACTGCCACGTTTGACCTATCTGCAAACACCCCCATCCCTTGGGCAGCCAGAATGACACCCTAGCCCCACCAGCAACCCCTGGCCAGCAGCTTCCCTCTGTCTAAGCCTCAGTATTTTCAACTGGAAAGTGGAACTCACGGCTTTCTAGTGGACACCGACAGCAGATTAAGTTCTAGGCGGCCGTCTGTGAGAGCCTTTCTCAGGCTCTTTATTGTCTTTATCGTGTGGTCTTTCGCCCCCTGGTGGACAGTTCTGGAGATGTCACTGGAGTACAGATCCGGGCCCCTGGGTTCATTCCACCTAAACACTACCGGGCCCTAAATGCCAGCTTTTATCTGTGTACTCATTAAGAAATAATTAAGGTACAGGGCAAGGTTCAGGGGCTGAGGAAAGTAAAAGGGATCTCTTGTCCCTTCCCAAGGTGATAGCAGGGCCGCGGGGCTCTAGGTCCAGTTCCCACACGGAATCACGTAAAGCAAGCGGGGGTGTGGGCGGGGCAGGGCTTCCCAGGAATGACACTTGGGGTTCCAAGTCCAGGGAGTGTTGCATCGGCCAGGGAAATCCAGCAGGGCCCCAACACAAAAGCTGCCTCCCCCGGGAAGCAGGACTCGGAGTCCCAAGTGACAACAGAGTCAGCTCTTACCAATTCTTTAATGCAAATCCCCAAGGGGCAGAGGGACGAGCTAGAGGCTCTGCGCAACGGACCTCAGGCAGAGGGAGGAGAAACGAGGCAGTGGGCAGAGGCAGGGAGCGCCACGAGTTAGACAGTGAGGGTGTGGGGCGTTCTCTGTGACCAGGACACCTCTCCAAATACAAGAAAAATCGCCAGACAGAACAAATTAGGAAGGTGTAGAAAAAGCCTGGGTGTTGTGTCTCAACCCTGGAGAGGGCCATTGGGTGGCTGCAGGTCCAGGTCGCTGCTTAAGGCTGTGAGAGGGGCTCCCTGGAGGGCTGCCTGGAGGAGGGAGCAGGCAGTCTTCAAAACTGTGTGTTGCCCTTCTCGGCTTTGGGCTCCTCACCCTCATCCAGCTCCAGCCCCAAGTTGCTGTTTCCTTCCATCTCGGCCTCCTCCTTCTTTTCCTCCGATGTTGATGTTTTGCCTTCTTTACTGTAGGGAGAGAAGGGCCCCCGCCACAATTAGAAGCAGGCACTCTCATTTAGTGGAGGGGGGAGGGCTGCAGGGGCGGATGGGCACAGGCAAGGAAGGATGGACGACAGACAGAGCAAGCAGGGGGTCCGGCCTGCGAGGAAGCAGTGGGGGGGGGGAGCAGGTCACATCCTGACAGCAGGAAGCTCAGGGTGCTGGGCTGGGCTGGGAGTCAGTCAAGCCAACAGCTGGGGCCACGCCTCCCCAGCAGGGGCAGCTGTGCTCAGCTGAGAGTCTTCCAGCCAGACTGGTTCCCCCCAGCTCCTGCATTCCTACTGGTCCCCAAGATGGGACATTGCCAGGAAGCGCACCCAGCCCTGATCATATCCTGCTTCCCCCGGACCACAGGAGACTGAGCCCAGGAGGCCAGTCGCCCACCTGTGCTCAGACTCCTACAATCCCGCACCACTGTCTCCTTCAACCGGTATTTGCTACGTGCCTGCTGTGCGCCAGACCTCGCCGGGTGCTGGATACACAGATGCCCAAAGCTCACTTGTCTCCTGTCAAGAGCCACTGTCCGGTGTCAAGAAACTGGTCAATGACTAAGATAATTCCAGCTGGTGGTTAAGTGCAAAGAAAGACGCAAGGCTGCGGGCTAGAGGGTCGGCAGGCTGGTGGCCAGGGTGGGCTCCTGTGAGGAGGAGCTGGCCACCGGATACTGGCCAGTAAAAGGCGACCGTGAGTGCAAAGGCCCTGGGGCAAGAATGAGCTGTCTGAGGTAGAGGAAAGGTCATCTTTGCATATTTATCCGCCCCCCACAGACACAGAGGAGGGGTTCACACGGATTACTGAACCCCGCGGCATCCCCGCGCCCACAGGTGGTACCTCAGGTTTATGTGCTCCTCATAGGTATGGCCCTCCATCCTGACCTCCTCGTTCTCAGCTCTGCGGAAGAGATGGGAACAGAGGAAGAGGGGGAATTAGGAAGCAAGCAGGGACAGCCTCACCCCCGTCCCCCTGCCTGGGGCTCACACGCCCAGAGAGCTGGGGGGGGCGGGCTGAGACGTCCATGCTGTGGGGTGGGGCCCGAGGAGGATCGGGAAGGGGGAACCTCTAGACACCTCCTGACAGGGTCAGGAAGAGGGAGAGGAAGGGAGAAGGGTGGAAGAGGGGGCAGGTGGCTTGGGTGGCAGAGGGGGTCCCACCTCACTTTTGAGCACCAGACGTGCTTGGCAATCATAAGCACGAAGACGATGAACAGGAAGCCGACCACTGCGGCCAGACCCACCAGCCACTGCTCCGGGCGCCTCTCTGTCAGGAGGAGGGAAGGGGGGTGCTTCAACCGGGAGGAATGGCGGCTCCCCCAAAGGGGAGAGGCAGGAGAGCTGGGGAGTCTTGGGAGAGGCTGGGCTTAGGGCGGGCGGAGGGGGCTGAGGGGCAGAGAGGGGTGCGCCCAGGGGTGAGAAGGGGGAGTGCAAGCTGGGGGCGGGCTGGGGGAGGGCCCAGACCCAGACCCCAGACCCAGACGCAGACCCCAGCCTCTTCTGCCTGACCCCCACCGCCTGGGCACCACAGGCCTCCGTTTCCCATCAAGGAAAATGGAGGCGGCCAACCTGTGGCCAAACACACCCATGACCCCCGGCTCCCCGGCCCCCCTCCCCTCCCCCGCCCCCCACGAGCGGGCGCCTACGCTGCTGGGCCTCGGCCGGGGACAGGAGCAGGACACTGAGCACGAGAAGGGCCTCCCGGGTCTCCATGGTGCACGAGGAGCCTCCGCCTACAGCCAGCCGGCGATGCCCTGTGGCGGAGGTGCCGGCCCTGATAAGGTGGGGGGCGGGGCGGGCCGGCCCACCCAGGAGGAGGGGTCTCCCCTCCCACCACCTGGCTGGTGTCTCCCCACCTCCCCCAGAGCCCAGACTCTGAACCCGGAGTAACAATTAACTCGAGGGGCCCCGCCCTGCGCCCGCTGAGGACCTCTAACCAGGCCGAGGTGGCCCTGACCTTCCTTCCCGGCACCCGGCTCAGGGCTTTCACCCCTCAGATGTCGCCTCCTCTGAACACCCCATGAAATGCTTCTGGCTTTTTAGGGCCGCCGGGGGCCTGGGAAACCAAGGGGGTACAAACATAGCCTGAGCTGGGATTTGAATGTGATCCCTCACCCTCCATCTGGGGGCTCCTCCCGCCCCTCTGTGGGGGACCCACAGCAACATGGCCCGAGCATGGGAACAAGAAGAGGTGGGCACTGAGCACCCCCCAGCCCCAGGGAAGGGAAAAAAGGGGCGACCCGGCCAGACTGACTCAGCCTCCAGGCTGTCAACCTTGTCCTGGGTCGATTAGATAAGTGGGCCCAGCCCGGGGCGAAGGGGGACCCCACCCCAGCTTCCATGGCCCAGGCACGTGGCAGGCAGGCGTCAGGGGAGGGGAGGAGGAGGCGCTGGCCCCCCAGGGCCTGTGGCAGGGCTGCAGCTCTCGGCTGGGAACATGGGTGTCCGCAGCTGTGAGTTTATGGGGCACCGGCTGTGTGCCCAGGGGCCCCCCTTACTGAAGCCATTATGCAAATGTGCCAGTCAGCAGAGGAAGACAGAACTCAGGCGCTCCAGTCCCGGGACAGGCCAGGGCCCTTGTATCTTCCTGTTTAAAGTACCCAGAGTGGTTTCTGTTGCTTGCACTGAACTTTGATTCAACCACAACACAATCCTGTATCTTTTGATAATAATTTTTAAAATGCAAATGCAGTTATCCCTCCTATGTTAATTTTCCAATCATTTACTCTCTAAGCACTTCAGGCAGGGTGACAATTGCTGATACTGCATCGTGCAGAGCTAGGGGTCAACTGACTGGGGTCAGCCGGCTGACCCCAGTGAGCACCTACTGTGCGCTCTGCCCTGTGCCAAGCTCAGCGCGGAGGAGACGACCGCCTCCCGGGAGCCCAGACCCCAGAGACAGACACATGCACCCAAAACTCGGGTGGGAGGTGGCAAGCGGGGGATGGACGAGTTGGGGGGACGCCAGCAGAGCAAGGAACCCCCCCACCGATCTCCTGCTGTCTGAGGGGGCTTGCTGGGTGGCCCTTGCCAGGAAAAGCTCTCTGCTGCAGCCATTTCCGGCCGTGCACGTCTGTTCCCCCATCTGTTGGGGGGGGTGAGGGGTCCCACCTGGGAGGGCTGAGCGAGACAGTACAAGGCAAGGGCGTAGTCAGCAAGACGCAGCACCGGCAAGCACTGGGCTGCCATTATTATTGTTTACATCTTCTTAGTGTTTGGGGCCTCCCTGGTGGCGGAGGGGTTAAAGTGTAGCACTGTGAAGCTGTCACAGCGCTGTAGCATGAGTTCCCGCCAGGGAGTGACCCCTGGGGCACAGCAGGCCTCTCCTGTCTCCCCCACCCCACCTGCTCCCCTCAGCAGTGGATTTCTGTCCATCCGCCTGTTCTGCTCCCCAGTCTGTCTCTGGTGAATCCTCTCACGCCCCCCCCCCACACTTCTGGCCTGTACCCCAGCTCTGTATGCATAAGTAAATAAATCTTTTTTAAAAAAGTACTCTTCTTAGTGTTTGCAGAGCTTTTTATACCACTGGCCTCTGTGGCTATCACCTGCGACCCTGATGGTGTCCACGCGGGGGCGCTTGGGCACATGAGCACGGAGCATGGGCACCTGATTGCACACCTGTGCCTGGAGGGCAGCATCCTAACAGGCTACCGGAGGACGCGAGACTGCAGGGGGGTAAGACCCGGGGAGGTGACCCCAGAGGGAGCCCAGGGAGAGTGTAAAGGCTTGCGGCCCCTGCCCGCCCTCTGTGCCTGGCTGCCCACTACCATGTCTTTGATTCCCAGACTGTCCACAGCCTGGCAGAAGCGCCACCGCCGTGAGCCTCTGGGAGTTGGAAGTGGGAGCTGGAAATAGCCGGTATCCAGCTCCTGAGGCCTGTCAGCCAGTCAGTGGGGAAAGGGCCTCGGGGCACACAAGTCCTGTCTATACAGAGGCCAGCGGGGGCAGAATTGGGTCCCAGGCCCCAGGGAAGCTCTGCTCAGTCCAGCGCCCAGGAGCTTCGTCGAGTGGGGGGTTCTTTGAAAGCGATGGAGGGGCGGCCCGGAGGCCTCGTGGGGGGTTCTTCAGGGGCCCCCTCACAGGCCGTGCTGGAGTCCTCATCACCCTGCCAGGCCAGGGCCAGCTCAAAGTCCAGTTCTTCCAGGTCCTCCCCCTCCAGGCTGGGGCGCAGCTCCCGGGGGGCGTCCCCCTGGTCCAGCTTCGGGCCGAAAGCCCAGTCTGTGACGGGCAGCCAGTGAGGACTCTTCCCAGGTCCTGCCCGCCCGCCCACCCCCAACGCACTGACCCTGAACAGGACCTCAGCCTTCCAGGGACCCACCGCGTCTACCCACTCCAGGGCCAACAGAGGCCCTCAGCCCCCACCCTCGGCGGCCCAGCGTTAGCCCAAGCCAGGCTTGTGGTGGGCTGAGCAGCTCACCAGCCAGGTCGTGGGCGAGGTCCTTGATGAGGTGCCCAACGATGGCGTAGGCCACAGCCACCACCAGGAGTGCAGCCAGCAGCAGGTACAGAGCGTACCTGGGCAGGCGGACTGAGTCCAGGGGTGGGGGCCGGTACTCTTCATACAGCGGGGCCGGGCGCCAGCCTTCTGGCCCCTCCTCGGCGACCAGCACCGGCATGGCTGCCAGCTGGAACACAGAAGGCCCGGGAGTGACCCACATGGCGGAAGTATTAAGGGGTTTTGGGTAAGCGGATTGGGCCGCCCCCTGAGGCCACCATCTGCTTGGGTTAATCACAGTGCAAGTCACTTCCGCCCCTGGCCTCTCCCTTACCCAGCTACTGCCACACTGGCTGGGGCCCTGCCCGATGATCCCTACCGCAGGGCCTTGGCACGTGCTACCCCTCCCCAAATGTCCTGTTCCAGCTTTTCACACAGCTGATGCAGTCACCTCATTTTTTAAATTTAATATAATAGTTTATTTTTCCATCATTTTGTGCTTTTTCCCATCTCAGTTGTCATCCCCGTGGGCTTCCCATCACCAAGTCACCCCGTGTGCCATCGCCATCGTCCCGTGCACCCCTCCCATTTTGGATCCCATCCCCACTCCACCCCGTAAAATGTCTGGTATCTTGCTGTTCATTGTTATTATTTTCCCCCTCTGGTTCTTTATGCTTCTGAATGAGTGAAACCATTGGTATTTTTCTTTTTCTTTCTGGCTTATCTCACTCATCATGATCCCTCCCAGCTCCACCCATGTTGCTGCAAAAGGCCTGAGTTTATCTTTCTTGACCACTGAGTAATATTCCAGTGACATTCCCCTAATTTCATGGAGCTGGTACCATGGCTTGTATCTCTGCAGATACAAGTACACAGCTGTGACCAGGACTGACCAAAACCCATCTTCACAGAGTTGACATTTTTCCTTCTATATATTTTATTTTTATTTTTTTCTTAAATATTTTAAATTCTGGCATCTCTCCTGCCTGTCTGTGACGATGCCGGTGTTTCCTTTCACAAACTTTTATCCTTTGCAAAACAGAAGCAGCAGCACCTCCTTCCCATCTGTGACTATGCAGGTGCCTCTCGTTCCTCAGGAATTTCTTTTTTAAATGTAAAAGAAAATTATTTTTCACTGTTCTTGCAGAGCCCCGGAGAAACCCCACCACGGACGCCCCCTAGTGGCTGCTGTAGGGAGGACAGCCGGAGGCGATGAAAGTGGGGGCCCCTGGGCCTAGGGGGCCACGTGGGAGACAAAAGGGTGGACGGTGACCCCCCTCGCTGACATTTCAATGGCTGCCCGCCTATGTAGGAAGGGGTCCCGACAGGCTACACGCAGCCTGGGTGTGTGGCGGCCCGGAACATCTAGGTTAGTTACTACAGTCCGTGGCCTGCGCAGGACAAAAATCACCTAATGATGCATTTCCAGAACATGTGTTTGCTAAATGACACATGGCAGTATTGGGCTCAGATGTGAAAAGTGTGGTGTTGGCGGGGTGTTAGGACTGCGTGGAGGCGCCAAGGCCTCATTGAAAAGATGGCATTTGGGCAAGGGCCCAAGGGAGCAAGTGAACCAGCCAGCAGTGGGAGTATCTGGGGGAAGTATGCTCTAGGCCCCGTGGCCCGGCAGGGAGCACCCAGGAGGGGCCTGTGGGCCATGTGCTTGTCATTCTGGCTTCTGGCACCCAACTCCCAAGACCTGTGCAGTTCCCGAGACCCGTGCAGTTCCCGGAGGGGTGGAAGAGGGCACCTTTTGCGGGTCCCTGGATCCTTTCACATCAGCCTGGGCTTATTGAATGAGGAGGGGTTTGTGGGCTCCATGGAACCTTCAGCATGACCAGAGGAAGAACCATGGGGGCCTGGGGACTGAGGCCACTGGGGACCTAGGGTTTAACCAGTGCCTGTGATGGCGCCTTTGAACCCTAAGTGGGACTGAAGAGCCGCCAAGTTGGCACGCACACGCCAAAAGCTGGTGCACCCCAGTCCAAAGGGCCAGAGGCTCCTTCTCTTGGGACCCTCCAGCTGCTCCCCGCGGCCGCTTTCTCTGGCCCTCCATTTGTTCAAATTGCTAATAAATCGGCAACAGCAAAGCGGTCTCCTGAGCTATCCGGGAGGTTGTCCAATGGGGGTGGGGCGGGGCGCCACGACCCAGGGCTTTCAGCGGTGCTGACATGGGGGGGCCGGACCCTGAGTCTCCAGGAGGTGTGGACTGAGCAGCCAGAACTGAACCGCTGAACCGCAGGACAGAGCCTGGCGTCTGCAGAGGAACACACACTGCTCCGTGCAGCAAACCCACATCTGCGGCGTCGTGTGAGCAGAGATCCGCCTGGTAGAAACAGCCAGACGGCACCAAGGGCCCCCACCTCCCGGTAGCCCTCAAGGCGTCCCTTCACCTCGGGTTAGGGTCCCTGCATGACCGACAGCAAGCAGCAGGCACGTGGCCATCAGGCATGAGGCCCCCCACCTCTACCCACACTGGGGGTCACCGCAGAGGCCCCCAGCCCGTCAGGCCATGAACTCTGCCTCTCGAGGGGACCCAGCTCAGGACCTACCGGCTGAGCTGTTCCCAGATGTCTGGTCCTGAGAGCCGTCTCTAAGGACTGGTGACTGGATTTAGGGTTCACGCTAAGTCCGGACCCCTCCAGAGGCCCTTTAATCGCACCTGCAGGCTACTCCAGGGGCCACAGTCACGGGCACCAGGATGTATCTCTTGGGGTGATACAACTCACATGCCACACGTACCCACCTGCTGGACCCGCAGTAATGTGTGACCAGTGCTGGGAACTTCTCCAGGGCCGGGCTAGGACCGCACTCAGCTGCACGGGTGCAGGACGCGGGGCAGGAGGCAGGGGGACGTGCGTATGTCTAACCGCTCCTTCCCCGACACGGGAAGGCCGCAGCGGAGGGGGAGGATGTGACTGGCCCCAGTGGGAGACGGGCCACGGCCGGCACACAGCCAGCACGTGGCATGAGGATGGTTTAGTGCAAGCTGCCGGGCCCTTCCTCAAGCTCGCGCACCTTGGCACGGAGCCCTCCTTGCATGTTAGGAAGGCGACGCTGTGCGGATCGATCAGATGCTGCACTAACAAACACGCCCAAATCTCAGTAGCTCCCAATGTCGGTCCACTGGTGGCTCTGGAGACACTCTCGGCACGGGTCGGCCGGACATCCCCCTCTGCACTGCCACGGGAGCAGCTGGCATGTGGGAAACTGTCAGCCACCTCAAGGGAGAGGGCCCTGCGTCAGCGTGGCCTCTGCTCTCACGTGAGGACCGTTCCTCGGAGAGGCTGGGCCCGGCCGCTTTCAGACACAGCCACGTGCCTCGCCCAGCTCTGACCCCTGGTGCGGAGGGCCCAGGTGACGACCGCTGCCTGACAGCAAGACAGGACACGCAGTTCCTGGCAGTTGCCGTGCCCACCTTGTGCTCTGCGGCCTCTGGAGCGCAGGTACGTGGCTCGGACTTGTGGGGCTACTGTTATTGCCACTTAAATGGCCGCTGAGGCTGTACACAGGAAGCTGGAAGAGGGGCGGGTGGGACGGGGCCCACAGCCCAGGTTCCTAACCACTAAACCCCTTCCCTGTGCGGCCAAAAGGGGCCGGGCGAGAGGTCTGGGGAGAGCCTGGATGAAGGGCCGCTGCCCTAGCCCCTTTGGGTGGGGCTGGCTGGGCTGCTTTTACCCTGGGAAACTGCTGAAAGAAAGCACAGTTTATCTTCTGTGGTGAAGATGCCAGAGCTGAGGTCACCCAAGGGCCCGGCCCACATGCTGAGATGTTCTCGGAGCAGCGCACCCCTCCCTGGCCCTGGCCCAACATACTGAGTCACTGCTTGGCAAAAATAATTTAATATTCTACTTGGGGAGTGCCCGGAGGCCTCGCCACACCCCGAGCCCCTCGCCAGCCCCAGCGACGCCCCTGGCACGCCAGCCCACGCAGGCCCGATGGGTTGAGGGATCCCCACCGCGCCTTTCCTGTGGCCGGGCGCTGCCGGGACTCTGGGCCCTGACACCCGCAACCTCAGTTCGGCGAGCTCGGCTACGCGCCAGAGCCCCGAGAGGCCAGGGCCCCGGGCGGCGGGGGTGGCCGCGCCCGCTCCAGCCCGTCGGCGTACTGGAAGTCCGGCCCGTTTTCGTGCTCGTACATGTCCAAGGCCACCACGCAGCTCTCTCGCACCACGCGTTCGGGGTCGGCCACGTGGGCCCGCAGCGCGGCCAGGCAGGCCGGCCGGGCGATGGCTCCCAGGGCCTCCGCGCACTCGTGCCGCACCATGGGGTTCTCTGCTGGCTGGGCCAGGGCCGCTGTCAGCTGGGGCACGGCCGCTTCGTGCTGCAGTTGGCCCAGGACGTAGCCGATCTCGTGGCGGAAGAGGGCGCTGCCACAGCGGAGGCCTGTGGACAGAGGGGGGTGGCTCAAAGCCTGGGCAGGGCCGGGGGGGCTGCCTGTCCGGTGACACCCGCGCTGGGCCCCAGGGGGCCAGCTCTGAGCCACTGGGGCAGGAGAAGCCCGAGGGCACGGCAGGTAACGAAGCCCCCGGAGCATGGCACCGGGAACCGCCTGACGGGACGTGGTCCCCTGCAGGACTGGCGCCCTCCTCTCCCCTCCCCCAGGGCTGCGCTATTCTCTAGATGCCAGAGTCCACTGCTACCCACAGCCACTCACACTTCGGGGTGGCTGTGGATTTGTGTCACAGACCACCAGAGGCCCCAGTTCCAGGCCAGCCGCCTACCTGTGCCGTCCCTGCCCTCAGGCACCACAAACCTGCCACCCAGCCCACCTGGCCTCTCCTGCAACTCCCACTGCCAGCCTGGCGCCCCAGGGACAGCCAGGCATCTCCCTGCAGGACAGGACGCTCAGGGAGGGCAGGGCGAGAGGCCCTAGTCCTCAGCTGGCACACACCAGGCTCCGGGGCACCCTGCCTCTCCTCTGTAGGCAGGACAGTTTGAGACACCTGCATAGGGCACCCAGGAGCTGGAAGGGGTGAAGGGCCCCGGAGCCAAGTCTCGGGATCCACCTCCCACCTCTGCCACTCACTGACCGCTGTGACCTCCGGCAAGTCCCTCTACTCTCTGGGCTTGCGTCTCCCAGAGACCTGGGAATCGCGACCGCCCTCCACCTGTGATCCAAGCCCCGGGGGGAATGCTGGGCCTGGACCAGGGTGCACGTCCCTGCGATGCTGCTGCCTGAGTGTCCCCAAGGGGCCTGACCGCGACTTCAGGTCCCCAGGCCCCTTCTCACCCTCTGCCAGCGCCAGAGCGGCCTCCTCGCCCCCGGCGTCACGCAGGGCAAACATGGCCCGGTACCGCTCGAAGAGCGGCCGGGTCTCGTCCAGCAGCACCTCTCGCAGCTGCCGCACGTCTCGCTCCTCCGCCGGCGGGGCGGGGTCCACTGAGAGGTAGGGCCCGGCGGGCGCGGGCTTCCCGCCCCGCTGCTGCAGCCACTCCAGGCGCCGGACAGCCAGCTGGCACGTCTCGGCCACCTGCAGGCAGAGGGGTGCAAAGGGACAAGCCTGATCTCTATGAACTCAGTCGCTGCCATGTCCGGGCAAGAGCGTCACCGGAGGCAACTCAGCCCCTCGGCACTGGGACGCAACGGCGGAGACGGCCCCGCCCACCAGGCCCCGCCCACCCCGGGGCGCCACGGCGGAGACGGCCCCGCCCATCCTGCCCCGCCCAGCCCGGGACTCCGGCTGGCCAGCCAGGCAGGCGAGCGCAGTCACAGCACCGACCAGCCGGTCCAGACTGGCTGACATTTTACTACATAAACATCAAGCCCAGCGCTATTTAGGAGGGCAAAGTGCCATGATGCTGGCACGTTCTCGCTGCTGTGCGGCCACCCACGGTCCTCCAGAACATTCTCACACAGCCCCCCCCCAAGCCCCGCCAGGACACCAGCCCCTGGGCGTCTCCCCTCCCCACTCGTCTGCTTGCTTCTGCCTTCAAGACGCAACTGTCTCACTCCGCAACTGTCTCACTCCGTACTGGTCCTCCTGGGTCCGCTTGCTCAGCGCGTCATCAAAGCACACGCACACGCACACGCAGTATGTATCGGGATTTCTTTTTAAGACGGAAAGCCCCACTCCTCTTTCTCATCTATGCATTCAATAATTAACACCTGAATTGTTTCCACCTTTGGACTATTGTGAACTATTAAAAACTACTTGTCACGGAGAAAAGGAGGAAGAAAGGCCTCTAGAAGGGCCAGCTGTAGGGGACCCTGGTGGAGGGACCAGATCCGGGAGGCGCAGGGGAGGGAGTGACCCAGAGGCCACCCTGCCGCAAGTGCTCCTTCTCTCCGAACCCCAAACAGGGGTGCAGGGAGGGTGGGGCCCCTCATTACCTCGACGACAGGGTCAGTGGAGTACTGCTTCAGGACCTCCAGGACTTCCGGGTCCCCAATGGCCCCCAGGGCCTCCCCTGAGAAGGCCAAGTAGAATATATGTTAGTTGGAAAATGCCCTGCACAGTGGGGGGCACCAGTTATCTGGTCATCCTCTGTCCCCTCCCTACAGCTCTGCCCGGGCCATCAGAATGGCCCCAAAAACTGAACTTGACTGGAACTGGGCTGGGTACCCTCCTTGGCCCACACCCCCAAGTTCTCAGGCTTGACAGGGAGGCCCCAGACAAGCAAGTCATCATAACTTGGGGACACAGAGGACAAGAGCTCCAAGATGACTGTCAGTCAGGGCAAGCCCCAGAAGCTGCAATGTGGGGGACGAGGGTTGACAGGATGCCTCGGAGTAAGGGTGTGTCACGTGCCGAGCCCAAGTCTGATGGCAAGGTGTGCCAGGAACTGCCAGCAGGCGGTGGGGGGCAGCCAGCGCAACGGGGGCCAGCGGGCCTCAGGCTGGGTGAGCCTGTGGGCACAGAGGGGCGCACCATTTCCCCACGGGGCGCACCATTTCCCCACGGGCACAGACAGAGGCTGAGCGGGGTGGGGAGGCCTGCGGCCAGCAGAGACGCAGCCCCCGGAACGCGGCCTCGCTGTGCAGACTGGCAAGAAGCGCTGCTGTCCAGAACCGGCTCCCTCACACGCCCGAATCTGAGGGTGCCCACAGACGCCACACTCCCGCCCCCACCCATGCCCTGACCTCCTGCCTCACGCCCTCCCCCGCGCTCACTCTGCTCCAGCCACAGGCCTCCTTGTCCCTCACGGGCACCCGCCCCTGCACGCGACACCTTTCCCAGGGCCTACCCAGGTCTCTCCCCACCGCCTGTAACAGCAGCACCTCGCTAAGTGCCACACCTCCAGTTTCTCCAGTCCCCCCAGTCTGTGCCTGCTTTATCTTCTCCTCAGCAGTTACTGAAGTGCCTCCACCATCATACGACTGGGTAATCCACAAAATCACTCAAAACAGCAGAGTTGCCGGGAGGAGCGCGGCCAGGGCCAAACAAACCCGACTCCCTCATTCTGGGACCTCCCTGTGGCGCAGGGGTTAGGACTCAGCACTGTGAAGGTGGCCACAGCCGCTGCAGCACAGGCTCGAGCCCCAGCCCCAGAGGTGACCACAGGGCGCAGCAGACCTCTCCTGGCCGCTCGCTGCTCCCCTCAGCAGTGGACTTCATCAGTCGGCCTGTTCTACTCCCCACTCTGACTCTGGTGAATCCTCTCACTGCCCCTGCACCTCTGGCCTGTACCCCAGTTCTGTATGCATAAATAAATCTCTAAAAAAAAACAAACTGGGATCTCGAGTTACTAGGGCGAGCCCAAGAAGGCCATGCAGTAGAGATGACAGTATTAAAAATGCCCCAATCAATCAAATGGAAACACAGCCCTCCCACCATCTGCAAACGAGCTCACCGGTTACAGAAATGGCCGCAGAGACAGACTAGCGAGGAAGTTCCTTGCTTGCCTGGTTTGCGGTCTGTGTCCCTGTCAGAACAGGGCGTTGCGCACAGCAGCCCTGCCGGGAGCTGGCCCCACAGGGAAACGGCTGAGAGATGGGGGTGACTTTCCTACTACACAGGCAGAAGCTGAACATCTCTCCACCTGCCTTTTACAGCGCTCGCCGCCCGGCCCTGGGAGATGTCCTGGGTGAGTGCGTGGGGGCCGGGAGGAGAGGCACAGGGGGCCCTGACGCATGGGGCCAGGCCAGGCACCCATGTCCCCGCTCACCTGCCTCGTGGCGCACCATGGGCTCCTGCTGGGTGTCACGCAGCACCTCCACCAGCACGGGGATAGCCTGCACGTCCTGCATCTGGCCCAGGCAGTAGGCCAGCTCGTGTTTGAGCAGGGCAGAGTCATCACAGAAGGCCCGGCTGATCCAAGCGATGGCGCTCGGGCCACCCAGCCCTCGCAAGGTGAAGAGAGCTCGGAAGCGGGCCTGCAGGGGCTGCTGGGGGTCCACCAGGGTCCGCCCGATCGCCTCCACCTCCTGCTCTGTCACCATGGTGCCCGCCTCCTCTGACGGCTGGTGTGCCGGTAGGCCGCCCGGCTACCTGGGACTTGAGAGCACAAGACCTGCGGCGGAAAGCCAGAGGCTAGTTAGAGGCGCGTTTCCCGTTCAGACCTGTTCATTCTAGGACCGAGGTAGCTTCCTCCCGAGGAGCAGCCTGGCTGGCTGTGTTCAAGCTGGGCCCTGCCCACGCCCTCACGATGTGGCCTTCTGTAAGTCCTTCCCTCCCTGGGCCTCTCGTCTCTACATCAGCGGTGATGACACATAGTCTGCTCTCCACACAGTAGGGAGGGGCTGTGGACCCCACGGTGTCCCCAGTGGCCCCACACCCTGGGAGCCATGCCCTGAGTGGCCTTCTCCAAAGCTGAACAGGGCTGATAAGTAGAGACAATAGGATACAGAGGAAACGACAGTGACTTCTGAGCACATGTCATAAGGGACACTGTGACCCCACCTGCTCTCTCTGGGGTCACTAGCCTTGGGGGAGGCAGTCACACTGTGAGGAGGCCCAATCGGTCGCAGGTAGGGCCTCACGTAAAGGAACCGACCGAGGCCTCCTGCCAACACCTCCGTGGGAGGAGTACATCGAGACGGCTCCCCTGGGCGCCAGGCCGGCTGATGCAACCCACCCAAGTCTGGAAGGGAGCATCACAAGAGATCAGAACCAGCACCAACCAGCTAAACCAGACCCAGACCGCTGGTCTGAAGAAGCGGTGTGAGAGCGCGTTTACTATTTATAGTTAAGTAGGGGGTGACCTGTTAGCCACCGGAGATGACTAAGAGGAAACCCACTCATATATAAATGCACCGTGCCACTCCTTTGCAAAATCCTACGGTGCCTGTTCCCTCCAAACTCCTGAGAGCCCCTAAGGTGCTGTACGACCTGTCCCTGTCACCCTGCTCACCACCCTCCCCTCCGGCTGCAGTCACACTGGTCTCTCCCCTGGTCCTTCACCACCCAGTCACAATCCTGTCCTACAGCCTTGGCTTGGGCTGTTCTCTCCCTCAGGAGCACTTTCCCCTAAATGGCCCCTCAGAGAAGCCTTCCCTGTTCATAGCTGGGAATGACTGATCCCTTGTCTGCTCTTTCATCAAAGCGCTCACCACTGCACACCCTGTCGGATGTCATCAGCAAGCTACTTATGGTCAACCATACCTCACCAGAATCTGAGAAGCTGGAGGAGCAGCGTTTCTTAGTTATTACATTCCGGACACACAGTAGGTGCCCAAGGGAAACAATAACCATGAAAGTAACAGCAGCCGACATGCAGGTAGCCTTCGCTCAGTGCCAAGTACCTCTGTCAATCCCTTCACACCGTGCCTCATCTAATCACACCACCCTATGAGACAGGCCTGAGTGTCTCAAAGGAGAGGAACAGAAGTACCGGGAGGGTGTAAACTTGCTTAGCACGGTAAAGTCATAAATCCAGGCAGTTGGCTCCCAAGTCAAGTTCTAACAACAAAGGCTGTGTGGGATGGATGAAAATAACAGGCTGCAGCTGAGGCTGGACGGAGGGCCCCTCCAGCCACCAGACCCACGAGGACCTGGCAGGCGCGCAATAAACACATCAAGCACACCAGCAGCCTCTAGTCCTCAGCAGGATCAGCAGGGCTGACCAAGTTTCACGAGGGACGTGCAGCTGTTTGAGGTGACCATCAAAGCAGGTGACACCTCTGAAGAGCAGAGGCCAGAAGTGAGGGGCAAAGCACGAGGGACTGTGGGGACCCAACTCCTTTCTACATGGATGAGCAATGACTCGTCTAGGGTCACACAGCAAGTCGGGGGCAGAGAGGACCCAGTACCCCTAACTCCCGAAGTGGGCAGGGGCTCCCTGGACACCTGGAAAAGCCTGTCAGAACCGCCTCACCCTCAGGGACCTTATGTTCCTAGGAAGGACGGGGATCTGGGGAGAGGTCTGGAATTCTAGCATGAGCCCTGAGTGGGAACAAACATCTCTGAGCGTAGGTTCTTCACGTGGAATAAAACTAACGGCTCACAAGCCGGGTTTCCTTTGCATTTCTGCTCAGATGACCTTCTCAGGGAGGCCTTCTGTAGCCACTCCACTTTAACAATGCAGACCCCCAACTCTGTGCTGCTTTATTCTTCTCCACTGCCTCACTGCACCTTCTGTTCTGTCTCCTACAAGAAAGTAATACACACCTAATACATGTCTAGAGACACACACATACAGTCGCTCATTGCTTAAACAGTCTGGGAGAGGATGGACTGAATTTACAACAGTGGCCCCGACAGGCTCCCGCCTAGGTGTGTAGGCTGTGCCACCTAGGTTTGTGTAATTGCCCATGATGTTCACGGGGTAATGAATCACCTAACAACGCACCTGTCAAAAGGCAGCCTCATCCTTAAACGACTCCTGACTGTGTGTGTGCAAGTGACACACACTATTCTGTTCACTACTGTGTTTCAGTGTCTAGCATAGTGCCTGTCACCTTAGCAAGAGACATTCATTAAGTACTGTTAAAAGGTGCCCTTCTGGCATCTGCACTAAGTACTTGATACACAGAATAAAATCCGTAACATGTCTAAAGTGAGCATATAAGAGCACATGGACCTCACAGAGTTACCTATGATGAAGTTATGCCCCAGCAGCCTAGTACCACTCTGGTAGCTCCTGCACACTTGATAAACACGCCTGCAAGGCGCACAGCACCCACCTCTGTGCTCAGGGAGATCGTACCTAGTCACCTGGAAGCCTACAACTCGCACCTACACGCCTTTTTTCATCGGGAAGGCAGGCAAGGGAATGGATGTTGGGTTATAGATAGATTTTGGGAATCCACTCACCCCAAATGAGTTAGGGATCGAAGAGGAGGTGGCCTGGATCCTCGAAATTTGACCCCCCTACTACAGACCTCCCTAAAGAAATCTGCAAGAAGGTCTGCCAACTAGACTTCCTCCAAAGAAGGAGTCGCTCCGACGCGGGATCTCTCAGGGATTCTCGCAGGATGCGCCGCCCGACGACGCCTCTCCAAGAGCTCGCTGAAACTCACAAAGTCGACGCCTCGGGACCTGCCGTGGGGGTCACAGAGCTCTGGTTACAACCTGGTTCTCCGAGACCGCGACACCTGGTAAGGGATCCCCCCCAACAGACACACCTGGCTCCCCGGCCTCGCCCCCCACCCGCCACCAGCGAAGGGATCCGCAAAAACAGGGTCCCCCGATGAAAGAGCAGAAAGGGGCCCCACGACCCCAGCCAACGCGTCCCAGAACAAAGACCCCAACGAGGCGGCCTCTGCGAGCCCACCCGACAGGCCGGGTCCCGCACAGTCCTGCTCCCCACACCACAGGACAGATAAGAGCGCCCGCTCCCACCTTCGCCGCGGGCCCCACAGCCCCCCAGGCCGACACGCTCGCCTTGCGCCACGAGAGCAGCCATCTTCCCGCCCACGTGACCGGCCTGGACGGCACCAAGGCAGCCCGGAGGGGGGATCGGTCAAAGACCCCGCGGGGGGCGGCCCGGAAAAGCCAGTCGATACAGTGCCGTAGCTCACACTCGCCTCCCAGGCTGGGTCTAATTAGGGACATCCCTCAGAGCAGGGAGGAGGACATTTCAACTTCTTCCCGGAAGTGATTTTCTCCGCCTCCCCCCCATGTGACCAAGGAAGTGGTTTGTGCCGACTCCTCCCAGCGGCGCCCTGCCTGACGCTGCCTCTCTGGGGCGGGGCCAGGGCCCAGGGGCGGGGCTAGAACTCAGGGGCGTGGCCAGGACCCAGGGGCGGGGCCAATGGGCGGGGCGAGGTGTTAAACTGGGAAGGGAGCTTAGTAAAAAGGCACAACAATCCAGTCGTTCGTTCCTTTAACGGGTAAAGGACGCGAAGGACCAGACACTCCGAATCCCTTGCCCAGACTACAAATCTCATAGTCTCATAGTCTGGTTGTCTGACGGAGATGACAAGAAGAAGAGAAGTAAACTATGGGGTATGATAGTTACACCTGTTACACCTGTTACACCGCGTGCGGTGTGCAGTGTTGGGGTGGCCAGCGTCTGAGCTGGTGACGTTTGAGAAAAGACTTCAAAGCGGAGGGACGAGACACGAGGATTTGGAGGAAGAGACACGCAGGCTTACGGAGGTCAAAAAAAACTGATAAAAATGAGAAGTCTCGGGAAGAAATCCGGGAAATGCATGCCCTGACTAGGGTGTTAATGACTCTGTCCTGCTGAGGAATAGAAAACAGGCTGTCAGGGGCAGGAGTGGAAGCAGAGACCCGAAGTACTCCAATTCTAGGTTAATTCTGAAGGTGGAGAAAACGGGATTTGTGGGTGCATTGGGTATGGAATTTGAGAGGAAGTCCTGTCAAGGATAGGTACAAGGTTGTGATGTGAGTTTCTGGGAGCACAGGTGTGCCGTGAACCATTACCCTCCCATCCTGTCTGTCCTTCATCCTGCTGATTCTACCTCAGAATTAGGCAGAATCCAGGCACTTTGCTTATCTTTACTGTCACCACGCTGCTGTCCACACAAGAAAAAGGAGGACGGTGAGTCCTTAAAAGGTTGAACATTGACCATTGAACCAACATATGACCTAACAATCTTGCACTTAAATAAATACCCAGAGGAAACAAAAGCAAGGGATCACGCAGATTACCACACACCCATATTCACATTTCTACCTCTTACAGTGGCTTTGGGTCCTGGTTACCTCTGTTGTTTTCCTGTGTTTGTGAATTTCAATCCCAATCCCTTACGTCACTGAGCATAGTGTCCTACAGGTTCATCCATGTTGTAGCATGTGTGAGAATTTCCTTCCTTTTTAAGACTGAAGATTTCTTTGGTGGAGGGACCAGTGTGTGTTTCACTGCATCCATGAATGGGCCCACCTTTTGGCTATTGTAAACCATGCTGCTGGGAACATAGGTGAATAAGTATCCATGTGATTACCTATTTTCAAGTATTGTGTATACACTTAAGAGTGGAATGTCTGGATGATAAGGTCATTCTAGGTCTATCATTTCCAGAAACCACCAAACTGTTTTCCACAGCAGCTGCATGATTGAACTCCCACCAGTACTACATAAGGATTAAAAGTCTCCACACTCTCACCAACACTTGTTATTTCCCACATTTATGATAGCCGTCACCCTAATAGATGTGGATTGTGCAACTTTTGTATCAAAATTTTTATCAGTGGAATGAATAAGGATATGGATAGATCCATAGTAGAACAAATATAGCAAAATGTTATACATTTCTAAGTTTTCATAAGACATTGGAAAAATAGGGGACAAGGGAAAAGAGGGTTTAAGATGTATTTATTTATACAAGGAACTGGGGTACAGGCCAGAGGTGCAGGGGCGGTGAGAGGATTCACCAGACACAGAGTGGGGAGCAGAACAGGCAGATCCACTGAAACACACTGCTGAGGGGAGCAGCAGGGAGACAGGAGGGGTCTTCCACGCCCTGTGGGTCCCTCCCTGGCTGGGGATCGAACTCTTGCTGGAGAGGCTGCAGCTAATGCTGCACTTTAACCCATTGCACCACCAGGGAGGGCCCACGAGGGCTACTACATCTCAGTAGTTAACATTCCAGTTAGACATTTGGAAAGGTTTTTAACTTTTAGAGTCTGTACAACCATTTTGAGGGATTTATTTGAAAGTCATTTTGAAAAGAAGCAGTCTGAAACGTTCGAAATGGCAAAAACAAAAGCTGGGGAAACCCTGAGGACAGTCTCCCCTCTGCCGGCCCCCATCGGTGTCTGTCCACTGCTGCCTGCCTGCAGGAGTGCATTCTTCTGGACTCTGCCCTTCTCGGCTAGCCTGTCCTCCCCAGAGTGGCCCCAAGGGGGCACCTGTGAGCACCCGGTCACATCTCAAGCCCCCGGCTGCCCACCACCCTCCCAGTGAGCAAGTCCTCCCTCAGGCCCAGGACCGCTCCTCAACCCTTCCTCTCCGCTCGCCCACTCTGTTCCGGCCAGGCCAGCACAGACCACCAGACACTGTCTTGCTCCAGGCCTTTTGTGCTTGCCCTCCACTCCTTCTGGAATTTTCTTTTTTTCATCTGGAACATTTTTTGTTCACATTCACTGTGAAATGTTTACTCCTTTGCTCAAATGTTTCTTCCCTAACAAATCCCACCCTCAGCATGTCAATTAAAATCAGAATTGCACCCCAGCCCACTTTTATCCAGTTCTCTGCTTTATTTTTCTCCGTATCAGTGATATTCTACTTACTTTGTTTATTCCTAACTCCCCACCTGGACAGAGCACCACAGGGCAGGGATTTTGTTTTGTTCTCCTCACTGTGACGGAGGTATGCTAGTTGTTTGTGTGTGTGTGTGTGTGTGTGTGTGTGTGTGTTTAAGAATTATTTATTTATATAAGGAACTGGGATACAGGCCAGAGGTGTGGTGGAGGCGGGGCGAGAGAGGACTCCTCAGAGTGGGGAGCAAAACAGGCGGATCAACAAAGTACACTGCCGGGGGGAGCAGCTGGGAGACAGGAGGGGTCTGCTGTGCCCTGTGGGTCACTCCCTGGCCGGGGACTGAACTCGAGCTACACTGGCTGCGAATAGCTTCATTGTGCTGTGCTTTAACCTGTTTTGCCATCAGGGAGGCACCTGACATGTTTCTTTTTTGTATAAAACCCTCTCCCAGCAAAAACATTCTGATTCACCAAAGCCTCAGATGATGGTTAGCATTTTTTAGCAATGTCTTTCAACTTAAGGTCTTATGATATATTTATTATACTCTATACTGTGAATATAATTTCTATATTTTTATGTAACCTATATTTTGCACTGGCAAAAAAAAAAAGAAGTGTAGCCCTCCCTCCCACCACCAATCCACCCATGTGCCATCACCAGAGCCCCTTGGGTACTCACCCCACCCCGGTTTTGATCTTGTTCCCCTCTCCTCCCCCATAGAATGGATCTGGTCTGTAGTTGTCAGTTGATGTTCTTTCTTACTTTACGTGTTTATATATATATATATATATTCCTGCTCCCTTCTTGCCTAACTGTGGAGACCTGGGGCCAAGCAAAATGTCCTTGAACTGAGCCCCTGCTGTTTGGCAGCTACTGTCCCAAAGACACAGTCTCTGGCTTCATGGAGCTGACATCCTAATTATTTTTATTATCATTATTATCGCTATTAGTCTTCCTATGAGTTCTAGAGCTGACCCAGCTCTCTGGCAGCATGGCTGACCTTGGCTAGCTTGCAAGGACATCACCTTAGCCAGGTTGTGTGACTCAGGCTGAGGTTTACAGAGGCTTCCCACAGGCCAGGCACTGTTGGCTATGGAAGGCTGCAGGCTAGAGCCAGGTGTCTGCCCCAAGGAGGATCTGCAGGAAGGAGATAGGTGCTGGGTGCAGGAAACAGATAGCGGAAGCCACACCCAAAAGCAAGGCTTGCTTAGGTCAGGGACCATGGAAGTTCAGCCCTGCAGAGCTGGGAGGAATTGATAGCAGGAAAGAGGTTTGCCTTAAATCGAGGCGTCCACGCCTTCAGACCTATGATTCTGTTTTGGTTGAGCAAGATCAGAAGTCAAGAAGCTTAAACTCATGGGGGCAGCAGGGTCCCTCTGAAGGACCCAAGGCGGGTCCTTCCTGCCTCTGCCAGTGTGAGCCGCGGCTGGCGGCCACTGCCGTACCGTTAGTATGCGATTGCTCCCATCTCTGGTCATCTTTCCTGGCCATTCTGTGTCCAGACCTCCCCTCCCTGTATAAGGACAGCCATCGCTGGGACTGGTGCCCATCCCACCCTACTCTGGCCCCATCTTAACTTGGTCACAGCTGCAAAGGCCCTATTTTCAAACAAGGTACATTCACCTGTACGAGTGGGCAGGACTTAACGTGTCTTTTAGGGGGCACCACTGAACCCACAATACCATAATATTTTCCATCTCAACTTGGGCATCCAGCTGGGTTCCTGCACCCCCTCTTCCCTCTTTGCACCCAGTACTGAGCTCAAGGACAATTTATTGAAAGTTGAATGGACTCTGTCACCCCTCAAACTTCTAGATTGTGAAAACTCAAATCTCTGCTTCAAAAATTATGAGTTATGTAGAAATTAAATGATGGCCACAGTGGAAGCTGAGACAGGGAAGCATTTGCCTGGCATTTGCTCAGCGGGAAGGGCAGGCATGAAATTGAAGAAAGTCCGTAAAAAGGGTAATGCTGTTTTAATGCAGTTTTTCATTTTAAAATTGACATTCATATTGAAGTCATTACAGATTTGTACAGACAATCAAGTTTTCCTTGATGGTAAATCGGGTGCAAAATGCTGCTATGTTCAGTTCACCTTTGAGTAACGTGGGAGTTAGGGCTGTTGACCCCCAAAATTCACATATCTTCATGTAATATTGACATCCCCACAACTTAACTACTAAAAGCCAGCTGTTGACAGGAAGCCCTACTGATAACATAAACAACTGATTAGTCAGTTTTGTCTGTGATATTATTATA